CGGCACTTGCGGAAACCAAATTGAGAAGGGGAGAGGAGGTGATGGTGTTCCAGGAACCACATCAGACGAACGTTAACCATACGTTCAAAGAGTTTGCAGACACAACTTGTGAGAGCAATAGGGCGAAAGTCCTTAGGGGAAGTACCCAGAGACCCCGGTTTGCGAACAGGGAGGACAACGGCATCGAGCCAGTCCTCAGGGACTGACGACGACTCCCAGATCCGATTATACAGACTCAGTAAATACTGAGACGTGCTCGGAGGGAGATGGCGAAGCATCTCATAATGAATACCATCGGAGCCCGCCGCCGTAGAACCGCAGAGGGCCAGGGCAGAACGAAGTTCAGAGAGAGAGAAGGGATCATTATAGGGAAGCTGAAGATGAGTGCAGAAATCTAAAGGACGAGACTCAAGGACAGGTTTACGAAGAAGGAAAGATTGGGGAAGATGAAGACCAGAGCTAACAGAAGAAAAGTGGGAACCCAGTTCGGAAGCGACCTGCAACGGGTCCGCCACAAGAGTATCATGGAGGTGAAGGACCGGTGAAACATCGGGAACGAACTTACCCGCTATCTTGCGGATACGCTTCCAGATCTGGGCCAGAGGGGTTTCGGACGTAATTGTCGAGACATAAGATGCCCAACATTCACGTTTAGCCGTACGGATGGCCCTACGGGCCACCGCACTCGCTTTCCGAAAGAAAAGAAAAGAATCGGTCGTCTGCCTACGGCGGTGCTTCTTCCAGGCTGCACGCTTACAGCGGACAGCCCGAGCACAGTCCGCATTCCACCAGGGAACGCACTTCCGTGGACCCCGAGAGGAAGAGCGAGGAATAGAGCGGAGGGCAGCGTCGAAGACAGTGTCATGAAAAAGGAGGAGAGCGCGAGAGAGGGGCAGAAGGGAGAGGTCAGAGAGAGTAGCACTGAGGGAAAATAGGGTCCAGTCCGCCTTAGCAAACTGCCACCTAGGGAAAGAGAGGGAAGGGCGAAAAGAGAAAAAGGAAACAAGGATGGGGAAATGATCACTTCCATGGAGGTCATCAAGAACCTGCCATGTGAAATCTAAGTAAAGAGAAGAAGAGCAGAGAGAAAGATCAAGACAAGAAAGGGTACGAGTTCGAGAGTCCAAATGAGTGGGCTCACCAGAATTCAGAAGAGACAGGGAAGAAGAGAGGAGAAACGGCTCAAGGAGGCGACCCCGGGTATTCGTCAGAACGTCACCCCAAAGAGAATGACGACAATTGAAGTCACCCAGCAGGAGCACAGGCTCCGGCAAGGAGTCTAGGAGGTGTTTCAAATCAGGAAGAGAGAGCGGGACACTCGGGGGGAGATAAATGGAACAAACTGTGTACCATTTCCCCACAAAGATACGAGCAGCAGAACAATGGAGAGGCGAAGGAAAAAGTAAAGGAACAAAGGGAACATCAGCCCGAATCAAGAGAGCAGAAGAATTAGAAGCCCCAGCAATGGCTGGGGGGGGGGAGAGAAAGGAATAGCCACGAAAACGACCAGGACGAGCACCAAGCATCGGCTCCTGGAGACAGACACAAAGGGGCGAAAACCGCGAAACCAGAAGTTGGAGTTCGAGGAAATTGGCGTAATAACCTCGAACGTTCCATTGAAGAATGGACAACGACGAGAAGAGAAAGGACAAAAACAGAGAACAAGGAAGAAACAAAGGCGAAAGACCAACAGAGCACGTTAAAGAATATCAGGGTCAGCAAAGTCAGGGTTAGGGGGCATGGGTAAACTGAGCAAAGACGGAGGGAAGGAAACGGGAGAACAGATCAGAGGTGGGCGGGCAGGGTCCGGAGGAGGAGGAGGAGGAGGAGGAGGAGGAGGAGACAACGGAGAGGAGCAGTCAAGGACAGCAGCAGGAAGAGGGGGAGTAGAAAGAGAGGAGCGCACCCCAGCAAGAGCAGCAACCGAAAGGGAAGCAGGGGCCAAAGAAACCTCCATAGCGGGAACAGGGGGCGCAAGCACTGAAACGGGAGTGGAAGGAGCAACAGAGCCAGAAGGAGGAGCTGAGGAAGAAAGCGAAGCCTTCTTACCCGCCGGGGAAGAGGAAGGAGAGGAGCCAGGCTTACTCTTCTGACTTAAAGAGACCGGTGTCCCAGCAACTACGTACCGGGCAACGGATTCCAGTGTCTCAACAGGAGAAGCCGAACGAGAGCACACACGACGGCCGTTAGGAGAGCGATGGACATCCGCCCGCACCGACAGGCGGCGGGGAGAGCCGATAGATGGAGGAAGAGGATGGGAAGGAGGATCGGAGGGGGACGAGGAAGGAGACACAGAAGACACGACAGACCGGGTAGAAGGAAGGGGAACCCCAGACAGAGGACCAGGAGGAGGATCCTTCGGGAGAGAACCCAAAGGGACAGAGGAGGGGGCAGTGGGCGCATCAGGGTCCAAGGCCTGGAAACGGTTGTGAGTCTGAGGAAGGCGGGAAGGACGAGGAGAGGAAGAGCGCAACACGCGAGCATAAGAGATATTAGCATAAGGCGGGAGCCGGCGAACCTGGCGCCTCGCCTCAGGAAAAGATAAACGCTCCCGGTGCTTCAAGTTGAGGACGGCTGCCTCAAGCTTGTAATGGACACACGCACGGGAGAAGGTAGGATGGGCCTCACCGCAGTTGAGGCAACGAGCCTGGGGAGAAGCGCACTCCGACTTAGAGTGACCTTCGCCACCACAAAAAGGACAGAGAGAGACAGTCCCGGAGCAGCGGAGGGCACCATGCCCAAACCTCCAGCACTTGTTGCAGAGCCGAGGAGAAGGAACGTACTCCTGGACAGAGCACCTGGCACCAGCAAGAATGACAGAGGGTGGAAGGGTCCTACCATCAAAGGTAATCTTCACAACCCGGAGGGGTTGACGGCGACTACCACGAGGGGGACGAGTAAACGTGTCCACCTGGAGAATAGAATGGCCCTGGGCAGCGAGGATATGTCGAATATCGTCGTGGCAGTCGCGTAGGTCCCGAACACCGGTCGCAACATGGGGCGGGAGCAAAATAGTGCCAACACTGGCATTCAACTGAACGTTCTTCGAGACCCGAACGGGGGTCTCGCCAAGGCAGGATAAGGCAGCCAAGCGGGAAGCAGCATCCTGAGAAGGAGCAGCAACGACACGCGTACCGAGACGAGTGGGGTTAAAAGTAATGGAGGCATCCACGGAATCAATGAGATGTCGATGAAGGGAGAAATCGTCAGGAGGCGCAGAATCAAGAGGGAGGAGATAAAAATATTTGGCCCACGAAGCGGGACCAAACAAGGCTTGATAGGTAGCAGAACTGGAAGGAATCGAGCGAGGGCGGCCGTGACGAGAACGGCGGTGAGAACCCCCAGAGAGAGAGGGGTTAAAAGGCGCAGTAGTTACAACTAGAGAAGGAGCCGCGCCAGGGGACGAGGTAGTCACCACTGGGGGCTTGGGGCTCGACCCAACCACAGAGGAGGGAGGGGAGCCAGGGGAAGGAGTCAGAGAGGCCAAAGGAGGAGCAAGGTCGGGGCCCAATGCAGCGGAGGCTACAGAGCCCGGTCTTCCAATACGGACCGACTCGGGGGCTTGGTCGCCCACCCCACGAGCCTGAAAAGGTAAGCCAGAAGCAGCCGAAACAGGGGTTATCATCTTGACGAAATTACGAATTCACTCACGAATGTGCCCCCACACCCACCATGGAGCCACAATTAGAGGCAGGACACCCAACAAGAAGCTATCGCCGATCTTGTCGGGGCCTCCTAGGGGTGCGTCGTGAGTATACGCCCCACAAACGCCACCTTAAGAAACCGACAGTCCGTCGAGATCGGGTTCAGTGACGAAGTGGGGATTGACAATAAAAGGTTCCCCTCGCTCTCGACGTCGGGTACTGCAGTTCTACGGGTGCAAGAGTATGCCTCCTCAAGCACCCGGGCGTCAAAGTAGAAGAAGTCCAAGGGAAGAACCAGAACGAGCAAAAGGTCGGCAGGAAACGGCAAGCAGATAGGAGAAGAGGGGGGAGAAAAACGAAACAGAAGGAAAAGGAAAAGATGCCCAGCAGAATTGGAGAGGACGGCAGCAGGAGCACAAGGCTAGAAAAGGACAGAGGACTGTCCCAAGGAGCATCACACTCCGGCAGCCGCCCACTAAGCCCCCAGACGGCGACAACGAGCTGAGCGGGGAGGGGGTTTCTATTGTGAAGACCTGAAAGCTTTTGTCGAATGTCTTACAAAACTCCATTTTCTATGAGAATTCCCTTTGTCTCATCAATCTGAGCAAATGGTTTGTTTTTCCTCATTATATGGCAAATGAACAGTGCTAGATGGTGAGGGCTGCTAGGGATGGTGCTCAAGGGTGAGGGCTGCTGTTAAGTTGGAAAGTTATGCATTATAAATATGTAATCATGGCATATGGCCATCTTTTTCAAAGTATTTTACATTTATCATGTTCCTTAACTAGAAGCTTCATTATGATAAAGGTCCCGTTTTTCAGTATGTTACCAGCACTAACGCACTGGAGAATTTTCAATAGATGCAGGATCATTTTGACTAGTCTACTGCTTGTTGAATCTTTTAAGTGATCTTGCCAACTCGATTCGAAGAAAGTAAAAATAATATTTGAAACCATGAGATCCATTTTCATAGAAACTGATAGGTGTTGGAAAGCATCTTTCCTCTACCCTCCCTTCACCCCACATGACTCCCTACCCGTTCCTTCACTCCACACGACCCTCCTTTCCCCTTCTTTCACCCCACACGACCCCCCCCCCCCAACTCTTTCCTTCACCCAATATGACCCCCCTGCCCTTTCCTTCACCCCACACGACCCCTTACCCCTTCCTTCACCCCACACGACCCCTTACCCCTTCCTTCACCCCACATGACCCCCTACCCTTTCTTTCACACACCACACAAGTAAGTAATTATCAAAAGAAGGCACCAAACTGGGAAGGCTATGTATCACACACCACACAAACCATCCATTTTCAACCTCCTCCCCCACTAATTAGAGGGTAAATAACAGCAAATTTACACCACAAAACTTTATTAAGTACAAATTCACACTATGGTCAAGTTTCACATTAGCTGCACAATTTTTCCTTGCCAATCGGAATTGAATATTTATTGTAAAAAAAGTGCACCTAAATTGATAAAATAGTGTAGAGTACTGTTTACAACACCAACCACTGACAAGTAAATGCAATGATTAATAGTACTGTATAAATAACTACAGAGCACGCCAACATCAGAAGCTCGGTCAACCCATAAAAATTCCACTTCCCAAAGATATGTACAGCAAAAGTGGCTGACCACCACATGGTTAAGACTGCGATCTGGAAACATGCCTAATACTATATAAGGTTAATTGTAATAAAGCAAAGCTTTTTATTTAATCACAATTGTTCACATTCAAGTAGATTATTTTTTTTTAACAGTCGATAGGCAATCTGTATTAAAAATTAAACCTTAAAATGGAATAAATGCCATTTATGATAAATTAAAATTAATATGCTAATTATTGATTAAGACAGATAAAGACTAGATAACAAAGACGACTAGTGTATGGTGTTATGATTGATGTCTAAAAGGTTAACTGCAGAAATGTAAGTTTGGACAAAATCAACGAACACATTAAAATGTAATGATCAACAATAAAATGCACAATGCAAATACATGTAATGTTAAATGCCTTACCAATGGAGACTTGCAAATTCGTTACATCTACACAGATACTTTCGTTTAGATAAAGATAAAATAAAAAATTATAAATACCATAACTTTTACAGTACTAGTACCAAGTAACATTTAGGAAGCAACAATAAAATCATCATTTAAGAGAGATTTTTCCCAGGAACCCCTAGTGCCAAGAGGAGTGCTGTCACGTGAACCTCTAGTGCCGAGGAAGGGCGTGCTCTCTCGTGAACTTCTCTCGTGACGAAAGCAATACGAACTGTCTCCACTTGCAAAATTCCGACACAGTTGTCCATTTTTGCACAATGAAGCACAAAGACTTCTAGGAGTCATTGTCCTAGATGGTGTACCACTGAAAGACAGATGCAATCACTAATCACTAAAATAGTTAGATTCGTAATTACCAGGGAAGAAAACAACAGACTAATCTTTTCACCTTTAAAAGGCGATGTAATATGAGAATATAATGCCAAAAGATCATACTCGACCATTTTCATTTTTTTTTTTAAATAAAACCAGTTGCAATGTCAATACATTGAACCCTCGATCTGCATGGATTCAAATGACAGGAGGTACGTTTCTGACACCATAAATTAAAAAAGAAATGCAAATGGTTCATTTTATAGAAGCTAGTATGGTTATTAAATATAATTCATTTTGAAGTTTCTATAATTTGTTTATAAGGTTTATAATGTATAAAGAAGCCCAGCACAAGCAAGACTATGTAGCACCATCTGTGTTACTAGATATCCAAGAGTCGCTGAATATCACTTGGGTTACCAGTACTACAATAAAAGGACAGGGCGTGCGATATCAAAAGTATCGGATTCACCAAGGATTCTATCGAAGGTCTAGTGACCCCGAGGGACATTAGCAAAGGCAATCATACCATCTTCTGAAAATCAAAGCAGTCTACAAAGAGGTGTACAACTAAGTGGGACCATGCAGCTCCAATAATAAGGAGCAAGATGATGTTCCATTAAATGTCCGTGAATTGAGCATGCGGGGTGTGGGGGCCAATATGCAACCTAGCCAGAGTTGTTTATCACCAGCTACTATGGTGGTCAATAAGCCAAGGGGATAGGTGTGCGAGCAGTTTACTACCAGTAATGCCAGACCAACAACCGAGTTAATAGTCACAGAATGAATGAATGGGTAGAAATCACACTAAGGAATCCCTTTTCAGGAAATTGGAAAGTGCAAATCGCTTCCCTACATGCGGTGTCTGCATGTACATTTAAGGTAAAACCAATATGGCTGGGAACCCAGTAAAATCAACCATCTTAAATCTGCTAGAATTAAAAACAACCAGTATTGGATTTCTACCACCACAGGATACAAATACTTAAATGGCTCCAAGAACCATGAGGGCACTTTAGAATCAACAAAGACAAAGGAACGTTGACGTTGGAGAAGCAGCCGAGAGTTACACAAGGTTCTGCTGTGAAGAGGCTAATCTCTGGGTACAGGCCGCACATATAGGTTTGGTCAGGGAAGTTAATAGAGCTGCCAACTCCGTTGGTAGAATTAGACCTATCCATGAATAGTACAATGAAATGATAAGAAAAGTGTTCAAGGAAAAGGCATTTCATTACAGTACAAGGCTTCACCATGTTGGTCCATGCTGTGCAAAACTTCACAGGTGGGACACTATGAGCCAAGGTTGGAACATATATTGGAAAGGAGTCATCCTTATAGGAAAAAGGTAACGAGAAGGAACGGGGCCCTCCTGAGGGGTAACAATCATAGCACAGCATAAACAAGAGTAAAGATATTTCAGAGACCATGTGAGGTAGCGATAGTATGGTTCAGAGTATCAACGACAAAGGATTGAGGGACAGGAATAGGTGGGATAGCCAGAGTTTAGACTGCATAAAAGAAAAGTACAAATAAAGTAGTGTGTGTAATGGCTCCTCAGAAATTAAGAGGGCAAGAGTAAGTAAGGTATAACTGTTATAACTGTTGGTATAGTATAGTATAGTATAGTATAGTATAGTACAACTGTTAGTTGTATACAACTTGAAACCATGATAGTTGGCCCAGGACGACATATTATCAATTGCCACTTGGAGCCAATGTTTGAGAAAATAGTAGTCATCTTATTACTGCAACAACAATGTAAGATTACCAACAAAAAGTGCTGAGAAAGTGCCAGGGAAAGGGAGGGGGGAGAGAATTGAAGACCATTTAAGGCAGCCACGAAAAATAGTGCTCAAAACACCTTCATATTTTTTAAAAGATTCAAAGTGGTATCAAGTTCCAATTTAAATGAACAATGAATGGAAAACACTGAAGGAAGACCAGATTGCCAGAGCCCACAGAGAATGTTGTTGGGCTAAAACATCGTATCTCAAGGTGGTGTCACAAGCCTTTTTCAGGTCAATAAAAACAGCAACAATGGAGGTATTTACAACAAAGGCAGTACAAATAGAGATAACCAAGTCCAGAGATCAGTCATGCTGCAACATTTTTTTAAAGTCAAATTGAGAGGTAATGTTGATGTTCCAAGAACCACACGAGATGAATGCTACCTATACCTTCAAAAAGTTTTGCAGAGAACTTGTCAGGGCAACAAAGCAAAAATCCTTCAGAGGAAGTCCCTTGAGTACTGGGTTTCCAGATGGGAAGTCAACATGTTGATGTATGTGTAAATCAAGGTGGATGTGGTCATTGTGACATCAAATTAATTGGGGGGGAGGGCCAAACATATCATGGTACGTAGCAGTATTTAAGGGAACGACTGCGATTACCGCACTGTGGTACCCCCCCCCCCCCATTAAGGATGGATGGGGGGGGGTTTAAGGCCAGATTTGTAATAACTAAAGATAGAGCAGCTCCAGGTGATGAAGTAGTCACCACTGGGGATTTGTGGGTTAACCTTGTCAAGGAAGTTGAAAGGGGGAATGGAGAGGAGTAAGTTGGTGAACCAAAGACTAAGAAACAAAATTTGTTTGCTCAAATTTTACTACAACTATATTAATTTACACCATACCTGCGAGGTGTTCGAACTTCTTTAATTGGGCTGCTGCTTGTCAGACTTCTGCTATCTAGAGAGAGGTTGTGACGCATCACTGATGACACGGAGCCGTTCAGTTGATTAAGCAAATGGCGTCGTACACTTGCAACTGCCTGTTGTCAAAAAGATTATTATTTATGATGGTGCTACAACCATCAGATAAAACTAAAATATTCCAGCTTTATGACAAGTTAAAAAAAAAAAAAAAAAAATTACCTGTATGTATGTCGACTTGTCACGAAATTTAGTTTTTAATATACCAGTACAGTAGTTTGCTTAAGTACAGCATTTCAGCTTTTATTCAAAAATATTATTCGGTATGTTCTCAAAATGGAAATCATAATATAAAAACCACCGAGAAATGGGAAAGAAATCCAAACATGCCTTTTCCTTGTCTGGTGACTCAGGACCGCTTGCAGGATCAGACGTACTGCTCTTAAGGTCGGCAACCTTAGTTTCCACAATCTCATAATCGTGTGAATTATTTGAAGAGCTAGTTTGTTCCACTTTCCTTCCTATGATCCTGAAACACATTAATACAAGTTGATAATAGCATTTAAATGGCAAATTTAAATCCTCAACAAGATACGAACATTAGTAAACAAAGTTAATAAGTTCCAGAAAATTATCGCGGTGCTACAGTGTGTTGCTCAGAGCTGTAACCATAAAAATTACTGTTTTCTGAGGAATATTCAAAAGCCTACCACTAACATACCAGACTATCATACATTACTTCTAAGCTGCACTCGTAGACTGGTTCAGCTGGACGGTCAACATAAATGAGTTAACAACGTCTCTCTCTCTCTCTCTCTCTCTCTCTCACTCACTCGCAATCACACAACACACACCACACACCCACTCTTCCTCACACACACTGTACTGTTCTGTTCCGTTTTGCATGACCCTGACAATTTAGTTAACCAGTTCTAAAGTCAATTTATCTATCTTTGGCAACAAAAAGGTCACTATTACCATTTTAAAATTTACCTTCTACGGAAAAAGGGGCTTCTTGCTGATGATATAGGGGGCGGCAGCTCATCATCACTGGAGTAGTCATCGGTAGGGTCTTCCTTTGTGTCATCCACTTTCACAATATTGTTGCCAAGGCAGAATGAAGAACCACTAGCACTGTTTTGTCACGGATAAGAATATGATGAAAAGTTTAAATGGGATTCTTGCTATTTCCACTGCTAACAAATATACACCATGTTACATATGAATTTTTTTCATCAAGATTTTTTTGTAAATATGTCAAGACATTGCAATATAATCACAATACTGTAGTTTGGTATCATCGTGACCGAGCAGTAAATGGATAAATTAATTTTTAGAGTAATGAATGCATTTTATATATAGACTGCTCATGTATAGTTAACAAAATGTAAATTAATTTTTTTTAATCGAACAGAAATGAAATGCAAGAGGATTTACCAAATTTAGATTTCATTAAACAGTACTTGCCAGAGAAAATAATTATATTTATCAAAGTAATAACACTGTACAGAGCTCCAGAACTAAAATATAACAACTAAGAATAAGTTCTTATATAAAATATAAGAACTCCAGAAATAAATAACACACTATACAGTTAATCATACATATGAATATTATCATATGTAATTAATGTTTCCAAATAAATTTGCTAGTGTACAGACGTAAACCAAAATGCATTTTGATAGATTGTGCGAGATGGTGCTGAATAAGTATACTATTGTTTATGAACATTTCAGCATTCTTCATTTTTCAACAAAAATAAGAATATGGAAATATGCACACATGATCAGTCTATCACTTTATATACAAAAAAAAATCTTTGATAACTGGTTGACCAAGGTGACCTCTGGATTATCCCTCGATACATTAGTTGGTCCCATGATAAGCTAATGCCCCCACACTTAAAAGCGTGTTTGTGATTTTTTGGTCATTTTGAGATGGATGGGAAGTTTTAGTCTCATCTGAATGCTCAAGTGATCATTCAGTAATGCAATAAAGCTTCACCACTGACAGTTCTCTCTATTTGCCACTCCATAAAATTCCAACCTCCTAACCTAACCAGAAACATAACCCCGAGCAACCCACCTAACCTATCAAGTTAGAGGTACAGAAAACTCGAGATATTTTATTTTAATTTTCATAGTAGGTTGTATTAGTACGGTTACCTTAATTAATATTCCGAGTTGGTCATGTTAAGACGAAGGGTTGCATTACTATGCTGCAATGGGAAATGTACCCTAAAACTAAGTACTGTACCTCATATCAGGCTGCTCTTCTGCAGGTGATGTTATCTCAACTCCTGTACCATGTAACTGTTGGAACTGTGGAGAAGAAATTGTAGACGAGAGCTGATACGTCACTGGTGGAAGGATTCCTGCACTTGCAATGTGCCTTTCCTTCCTTTGCCAACGATAAATACCCCAAAGGAATGAAAAGGTCAAATTCACTGAAAAATAGTACAACACATTAAATATTGGCAAATACTTCATTGACGTAAAATTAATTGTGTTACAAATTTAAAGAAACCTCAAGTGCACATGTCCTTGCATCAAATACCTTTTACCTAGCAGTCTAGGTCACTTCCTGGGAAAATAGTTGTTGCCTATACAATGGAACCTCAATAAGCCTAGAAGGCTTCCAGTACCCAACAATAGGAAACTGCAGTATATATATATGAATATTTGCAATATCTAGTCATTCTTTAACCTTCCTCACAAGGCATATTCTAACCATCGGCTATAAATAAGCACTTCCTTTCTTTCATACACTTATTACAGATAAATAACAATTATACCTAATTATCAAAGGCATGCCGATTGATTATCTGGATTATTATCCAATACGGTGCTATATAGCACTGCATACTGCAGGGAGGCCAAAGCTAGCCATGGCACAGTCAGGAGGCACCAGATGACAATTGTTCCACCAATCATGGTAGCGCTGTCCCATAATGCCTACCACCACCAAGCCAAAGCAAAGATTAAAAACCTAATACCAATCGCAAGGCATATGACGCTGTTGGGGAGGGGCTGTTGAGGGGAGCTGGCCATCAGCTCCCCTGATCACAGGCAAGAGGAAAAAGCCTGCTTATCAAAGCATGAATATTTGACAATCTAACCATGTCAACATAGCAAATGAGGAAAGGCTAAAGCCAGTAACTACGACAGATCTTGCCTTACACTACCAGGGGGTTGACCTGTTGGATAAACAGAATGAGCCACCAGTAAAACATAGGAGCAGCAAACTGCCGAATGGGTCCTAAACAGAGCAATAAACGCCTGTGTTCCTATGCAATGCTCTATACTTTAGATGAACATAATGATGTGGTAGGAGCCAGAATGAGCGGTTAAGATATTCACCGAGGTGCTTGCTTATTTATGATGCTATGGTCTGGATGATATAACTACTGGACAAGTGATTTTTGTCTTTCTAAATATCTGTAACCACCTCTCACTTTACTCAATTTTTTTCTGGGAGAAATAATCAACTAGACTGGTTATTTTTAAGTAACCACTTCCAACTTAATTATAGCAAAGTATTCTTTTTATACATTCAAATAAGTAAAGCAAGATTGATGAAAATTTATTTGAGAAAGATCAGTGAACACTTGATACAAGAGTAAATTAATAAATTAACTAGTACTTGCCTAATATACACAGAGCCAAAATGGTAGCGAGGGTAGAAAAATGAAGACTGGTGTCGTGTTTCACTTCCGCAAAAGCATTGAGTGGCACCAGCACCACAAGAGCCATGCGTGTCATGAACGGAACCTGGTAAACAATGACTGCTTCAATTGTACAAATAAAGGAAATCAAACTGCACAATTTGGGATTAAATGCAAACTTGTCAGATTCTCCAACTAATGAATTTTGTTTAGTTAAAGCACAGAAGAATTGCCTATATTATACAGTATTAGCCCATCATTAAAATAATATAAAGTACAGTACCTTATTGTACAAAGGAATATCCTCTTAATATTTTCACAATTATAAGACGCACCTATTTTCAAACTTCAGGGTACGTTTTTGATGCACTTCAAAAAATTTTAAACCCTTCACTTTAAGCCTTACTCTAAACAAATTGCCAATTGCACCAACAGAATTTTATTCACATTCAAAGTTGCCCTTAATAAAAAAAAATACATAGTGGAAGCCCACTCAAAATAAAAGCATTTCTTCATAAAGCTGAATGTAATATCTTTGACAGTTTATTTCACTTCCACTGAAAAATAAACGTACCTTTATTCCGCATTGAAAATCTAAAGTTTCCAATATTCAATTTAAAAAATAATTTTGACTTGTTTTTCAAGTTATGCTATGATCATTTAGACAAAGTTGGAGCATTTGCCCAGTTGATTATGGGAAAAAAAAATGAAAGTGTTTGTGCAAGTTTTAAAAACTTATGTTAAACAATTTTTTGTAAAATCATATATTTATGTATCGTGCAGTCTAAAGGTTAAGACCTGAATACAGTTTCTCCTATATTAACAGTCTCTCACTCCCCAAACCCTAAACCTTAGTTTGTAAAGTGTGTAAAGCCATAACGAAATGGAAACTGTCAAACTTGAGACTGAAAACCACCCATATGAAAAAATTAAACATGTTTAAAACACATTCCTTTTATTCAAGATTTTGTATAGAACTATTAGTATGATAAAACTAGTATTTAATGAGATATGCAATATTTAACTTTGACTGAGCAAAATTATTTATTGTAAATGAAAATTAGTCAAACTTTTTGAAGCCAGGTCCATTAGCTTCCCTACTCAACAATTTTTTTTAACAAGATCAATTTCCAAATCCTCATGTAAATCTGAAGTAAATAAATCCAGTGCTTCAAATCAATTTACCAGGTATATTTTGATAATAAAAGTCAACACTGTCTGAACATTAACATCATCAAATAAATGTAAATGCGAGTATGTATTTTAAATTTAAATGGGTGTACAGGTATTTCAAGAAGGGCAGCTCTAGCACATTCAGTGAATAAAATTTAAGCTTTCTAGACCCAAATGAAAATAATGCAAATGAGTATTCTAATGTCTAAGTAAGTAAGTAATTATCAAAAGAAGGCACCAAACCGGGAAGGCTATGTAGCACCATCAAATGTGCGGAATAATCAGAGGGCGCTAAATATCACCAAGGATGTCAATATGAGAACAAAAACGCATAAGGCGAACGATATCAAAAGTATCCGAGTCACCAAGAATTCTATTGAGGGACAGGCGATCGCGAGGGGCATTTTAATGTCTAAACTTCAAGATGCAACAGCTCACCTGGAGAAAGCTGTAGGCCAACATTGCCAAGAAGAAGAAGCCAGCATGGAGCACACAGCTGTACACCTTCTGAATAGTGTTGTCAGTGCCACCAACAAGAGAGCTTATCCAAGATAACTTGTCTTCCACCCCACGTCTGGTGGCATGCAGTACATCCATTAAATGATGCACAGTCTCGTTCATTCGTTGTAAATCCTGTGTAAGTCGACCGTACTGTTGAACAGTCTCCTCATGCGCCGACAGAATTTTTTGAGTACTTGCATCTGAGGATTGAAAGCAAATGAAAAATTTAAAAATGCTAAATAAACTCAGAAAAAGCAAACTAACAAGTTTAAATTCAAGTTCCTACACTATCCTGCCTTTTTGCAAAGATGAATGATGACAGCCGAGCGACATGTTGGGTGTATTCAGTACATTGGATTTCTGTTTGACCAGACCGATTTGTACCAGAAGCTTATTGTTAAATAATAGAACACACTTATGCACAATGTTTGATAAAAAAAAAACATTTAATATTTTGTAAAGTTTGTTAGCGTGCTTTTCAGCACCGAATTTTAGTAAAGTTTGCTCCACCAAAGGGCACTTGTTACATTGCATCAATACGATGATCATGCATTCAAGGTGTCAATGCATCAAATTTTATTCAAATCCTGGGTACTAGCAATGCTTGGAAAAGAATGTTAAACAAGTTTGTTATTCTTAAAAATGTGCTTGCAAGGAAGGAGGATTAGCTCTGTGGCAGTAGCTTCACTTTTGCGCATGTAGTGCAATCCATTAATTTCCTTTGACTGTTTATTTTTTTTAAATTCAGCTACTCTGAACAAAATTTCCAAGTACCACGAGCTATGGCAAGTCCGTAGTGGACTTGTCATCTTTTGACTATTTTAAATATTTTGAAAGCTGAGGATTACAATAGCCTGAACTATCTCTTACAGCAGTATTTTGCATGTTACTCTTACACCAAAGAAATTTCCCCACATACCGGTGGTATATTTGTATTTCCAGTTTCCACATACAACAGCTAGCCCCACTTTTTATCTGGAATTTCCTGTCCTCGTCCATTTCTCTATCCTGTGTATTACAACTACGTCCCCTCTGGACCCATTTCATTCAGGGTCCAAGTTCACAAAACTGTTATACAAGTACAGTACTTACAAACGTGTACATCTTTCCTCAATCTTTGACAACTTTGGTTACATTTATTAAACAGTTTACAAGCATGAAAAATTCTCAGTCGACTGTTATTGTTATAAACAGCCTCCTGGTGCTTTAGAGTTCATTAACTGTTTAATAATTGTAAACAAAGATACCAAAGATGGAGAAAAGATGTACAGGTTCATAAGTGTTTGCATAACTGCTTCGTGAATCTGGGCCCAGGTTTGTAGGCTCAGTTCTTTTAGGCTTGCTCTTAATTTTTCTTAAAGCAGGTCTCATTTCTGGCACAAGTTTAGTGACTTATCTTTGAACCTTTATGATGATCTTTGTTTCACTAGGTGAAGCTTCCACAGTGGTGCTGCATACTTCGGTACTAGTCTAGCACAGACTATGAACATGTTAATAAGAATTTTTCAGGTATAATGATGGAATTTCAAAGATTCTGGTCCTTAATCCAGTGTTAGCTTTTCCTTGTTTCACCCCTCTCAGTGCTCGATTATCTCTACCTTTGTTTCCGAGGAAATGGAGATCCCTCTTCTTAGGCTCTAGAGCATCTCAACACTTCCTCTCATTGGCCAATATCAAAGGTATTTCACACTAAATGGCTGAAACAGTGCACAGAATGCACAGCATATCTACACTGGGCAAGAGATTATAGTACTGCTGCTTGGGTAGTGTGGGTCAGCCAAAGTCACCAACATGGCAGTGTAGACATAAAAGTAGCACTATGGGGGAACGTCAAACTGGGAACTCCACTACCATAAACCCGTGGCCCAATTATTCATTCACACATTTTGCATCCATTCAAGCAGTAAAAGATTTGTCTATCATTCAAGTGTCCAAGCTGTTTGGGGTTGAACAGATTATGGAATCTGCTCAGGGCCAAAGGCTGAAACGGATGGATTATTCACTACTCACTTGCCCTAGGTGGAAAAATGTGCGAGTGAAAATCTGGAAGGGGGCTGCAAGTATAAAGAAAATATTGAAGACTTCCAATTGGTACTACTGTGAAGAATTTACACATACAACCAGTATTTTTGTGGTATCACTGAAAAATAAGTATTTAGGTAATTAGATAAATGTACTATTCATTCCAAAAATTAATAAAACTCACCTAATTTCTGCCAGACTTCAAGAGCATTATCTTGTATCTTTGAAAGATCATTAAGAATAGTGCCATGAACCTCTCTCTGACTGTTCTCCTGTAACATCAACTGCTGTTGAGCTTCATCTGCAAACAAAATATGACAAATAAAACAAATTAAGCAAGCAATGCAGTCAAAAAAATTATCTCCAGGAATGCTTACTGAAGTACAGTACTTTAAAGTAAGGAGTCAACTGTAGTGTAAATAAAAATAAAAAGATTTAATCTTTACCATGCCTAAATAGGATGAAAAGTCTTGCTGAACACGAGCCAGCAACCAGTCAAAACCATCAGTCACAAATATAAAGCACTAATCCCTCATCACTACTATCAAACTTTAGAGAAAGATTACTTGCACTCTTACACTTTAAAATCCAACATTATTAACTTGGAAGATGCAAGAGGTCTGAAGACAAAGTAAACGACTCTGCGAATTAAAAGATAAATGTATTTCCCCTCTCGTAGTCTTCTACATATTGTAAAGGTAGTCCTCAATCTGTGTGAAGTCCTTACTATGGAAAAAATTGTCATGTTTCCTAAACTTCAATAGTTCACTTGTATTAAGAGATTAGTGGAAGCAACTCCTACCCAAGTATACTTTATGCATGTACTTTTCAGCAGGAAATATAGAATGCATTGAGGTGTTTAATTTTGACAAATTTAATTGAATGTTGGTATTTACATTATTTGAACTAATGCATAACAAGGGCTGCCTGTACTGTATTTTGAAACTATACATGTATTGCCAACCTGAAACCATAGGATAACATCAAACCGAGTACACATCACACCATTACTTTGTAAATCCTATACTTTTGCCCCTAAAAAAAAACAAAAAAAAAAAACAACCCACTTCCTAATATTTAATAGCAGTCTACAAGCTCCTTATTTTCCATACATACACACACACTTCTAATCTTCCGAATGCTTTATCACTAATCGTCTCAATGGAAACAGCATTGGAACCTCTTGGTATAGAATTCATTTTGTTCATCACTAACTCCCCAGTTGTATAATCTGACTCATTATTCTACCACAAACTTTACTCATTATGGGAAAAAAATCTCTGGAATGGAATGGAATGGAATGGAATGGAATGGAATGGTGGGATTGAACCAGCATCATCCCAGAAGCATGTCTTACCAAAGACTATGATAATGTTACTTTCATTGTATTAATGAAATAACAATAACATGGTCTATTAATTTAAATTGACCATATTGTTATTCTCAAACTTTTGGGAGGTCACTACTTTTACAATACTTACCATCAATTGTTTATACGTCTATGTTAAAATAGGGGTAACCACAGCTCCTCTCCAATCTGGCACAACAAATGCTTATGCTTTCTGGAAAACTTTTCACACATCCTGTTCCATGTTTACCATTCCTTTACTAATTTCTGCATATACCTTTTAAGTACCTGTAGCTTCTGCACTAGACAAACTCTTCATGGTTATTTATTTTGCAATTTTATCTTGCATTCTTATCAGCAAAACCAATCTTGCACATGCTTTTCTTCCATCAGTTGGACACACTTGACTCTCTAAGGACTCCCGCCACCTAATTTTTTTTTTTTTGCCGAATACATTTTGATTTGACAGTCATATTGGAATTTCCACCAGTCTCAATACTGCACTTAATTCTTTACCAAATTGCTAAATGTTTTTTTTGAAAAATTAATACTTTCCTTACCTTCTCATACAAACACTGTTGACGTTGCTGATTAACTAACATTTCACTCCTATGCTATATTGTTCATTTCTTTCAAATTTGAAAACACTATTTTGGAAAGTATGCTACTACCAAGAAGTATGTAATCATGTAAATAAACAAGTCCTTAAATAGATATTTATAATAAGGAAGCAGACTGAAAAGTGCCAGAAATCAGGTATGCCTGAGTAAATACAAGTGTGTGTGTTTCAACTTTGCAAGAATAAAGGGAGTGAATGTGTGATGCAAGCAAATACAGACATCAAGATGCTTACTCAAGTTTTCATCACAAATCAATCTCAAGATAATGTCACAAAGCATCTTGGCACACATGAACTGCAATCAGTAAAAAGTTGTAATGTGTAGAAAAACCATTTCACTGTGGTACAGTACTGAGCTTGTTAAAACACGGTGTCCCGTAATATAAAAACCATACATTTAGCATTTCCAAATTTTTAACTTCCCATTCCCCATTTTATGCACAATGGAAAAACTCATCATTTCACAGCAACGGCCCATTATTATTTACCCAGTTTTCGTTTAATGGCCTCTGTAATGTGAGCAAGCTCCTTCTGTCCTGATGCAATAAGTTTCTTCTCTCTAGACAATTCTCGAAGATTAGATGAAACAAAGCTGTGAATTGCTTGGTGGGCTGTTGACAGCTGTTGCTGCTGCTGTTTGAGGTGCTCATGTCCATCACTAAGAGTCTCCAAAGTTTTTGAGGTTGCTTTCCCAAGAGCTTCTTGACCCTCCTGAAATATAGTCAAGTTTTCATAAAGGCAAACTAAAGTGGCCATTCCTATTCATAACATTTAACCCTCAAGGAAAAAAAGTTATAATTACTAAAAAATCAATGCACCCAAACACCTCTGTGGCACTTAAGAGGTGGTCAGTCCTGTGTGTAGTAGGCAGAAGCATAATTAAATTACATGTGTCTGTAAATACAAATGAAGGAATAAAATGACACTAAACAGTCCTCTTTATGGCATTTCTCACCCCCACAGGGTTGGAAAGCCTGCATAGTTCTGCATAGTTAAGGAGTGATGAAGTGATTTCCCGTGTGGCATGTCGAGCTCAGTGTCCATTATGCACCATGAGTGCATAATGTCCTGGTATCTATAATATAATGTGGGTAGATCAAGTGTATTTGGTATCCTTGTAAAGGTTAAGCTGCTGCGAGTGATTTTTATGCAATGGCCTTTGTGTACCCATTGGAAGATTAGTCGAGGACATAATTAACTGCTTGATGGGTTTCTGGAAGTTCTACTCCCCAAGCCTGGCCTTGGGCCAGTCAAGTATTATGAGCAGAGAAGATTCAAGCGAGGTAGCTGTCATAAGGAGATAGAAGCTGTGGTTTTATGCCTCGGGCATTGGTGAGAAGGTTAATATTTCAGAACACCCACATATGGTCAGTGGAAATTGGCAACATTGCAGTGACTTCCCTATCTACATTCCCAGGATGAGACTATTCCCAGCCTTAACCAAGGAAACCATTAAGAATACCTACACCCAATTGGCTTATTGTGAAACAAAGCTTGGCCAGGAGTGTGATCAATCATCTTTTTTAAAATAAGCACTGTACAAAGCAGTATGGCAACCGAGTTGTCTATTAACCAAAATAGATAATTCATCATTCCACAAATCTCCAATAAAGTTATACAAGAAGATAACTATTATTACAGTAGTCATAAATCTCAAGTTAGAGTCGAAGCAACTAAGGCAAAATTATAAGCTTAAGAGGAGATTAGCAGTATGTTGATATGCATGAATTCAACGTAAGTATTTTTTAAAAGAATACCATCAGATAATGGGTAGAAAATTTATATTTCTAAAACATTGTAGCTGGACAGTAATATGCTGTCATAACTAACCTGCAAACCATCCATTGTTTTTATTTGTTCTTCAGCAGTATGCATTAACATATTCACAGCCATCTGTGTCTTTGCCCCAAACTGTTCTTGACGTGATGCATAACAAACGGCTCTCGCGCGATTAGAAATAATGTGATAAGCATTCCACGTATTGGGATCCATATCCTTTGTACATTCTGCAAGTGTCTGCAATATAAATGTGCATTGTACATTATAAATAATTATTCAAAAGCACAGCACCATATGCTTAACATACAATATATACGGACTGCATATCACCACCACCCCTTTTCCTACCTTCAGAAAAAAAAAGGGAATAATGCAATATAAAGATTAAGTATATTAAGTAATAGAACAAAATTAAAAGCATCATTTAGCCAATCAATACATAGCATGGAAAAATAAGAACCATCACATTCTAGTAATCATTCACAATGGTAATTCATCTCTTCACTACACCAGGTTATCAGTGTTCATTGTGAATTGTCAGTAGTTAAATACACAAGTTTCTTGCACATTCTTTCCATCCATTTGTGTCCCTTACTGTATCTCTTGCTTTGCCCCACACACCATATTCACTCATCTTGCTATTATCTTGCTAACCTTTACTCCTCCCCCACAAAAACAGTCAAATATACTTCTCTCAACCAAAACCTTCTGTTACTGATTTTCAGCCCTACCATTAGTTGGTAGTCTGTGGAAAGCAGAATGGATGACTTTAGATGTATAGCAGTAATCTACCCCAACCCAAACAGTCTTCCCCATCCAAACACACTCGAGTCCTCACGGAGAAATATTGCATTTGAGGATAATGGTGAAAATCATTCAAATAACATTTGTGGTAACTAAACAATAGAAGCATTCAGGAATTACAGGATATACAATAATAGTATGTAAAATATAAGGATGCCTTAGTGAAGCATATTTACTCTGCAGTGAAATTTTTTGTTAATCTTGTGTATTTGATAAAGCACATAGTTGAGAAAATATTAATGCTGGTAGACAGACAAAGTTAACACCAAAATGTTAATTCAATACTCACCATGTCATTCGTACATGGAAAAATTGGTCGACCTTCTGCAACCGACTGACAATTGAGTAGGTTAACAGCTACTTTTGATAGGTCTTCTTCAGATAACTCGGAACAAGTCGAGTGTAGTCCGATAACAACCTAAAAGTCATTACAAGATCATTAATATACAACTTTATTTTTGCTTTTTTTAATTTTTTTTTTAGTTCAAACCAAGGCAAGGTAGTCAGTTTCTTATTTTTTGTGCAAGGTATGGAATTAAGCATGTACAAGGCAACCCATGCATGGAGTTTGAACTTCTATCAAAATGTTTATGACTGAGGATTTTACTATGAGCCCCATACCCATATGGTCCAACAAAACTATAGAACATGCTTTACGCTTTACGATGGCTGTCAGGCCCTTGGAGCCACCCTCTTTTAGTCACTTGGCATGGCCTTTAGTGTGGTTCCTCTACTCATAGGAGGTCTGCTACCTTGGCTGTACCTTAGGATCTAGTCTGTTGTAGGTCTTAAACTCGGCATGTGCGCACAACTTGAAAGGTATAGGTACTGGTGTCTCCTGACACCAACTCATATTCCTGGCAGCATCCACATCCTCTTCAAAGAGCAGAGTTATTGGTACTAGACAACTTTGAGTCTCACCCCGAGTAGAGTATGGATGCCGTTCTTCCTTCAGTACCACTAGTTAACCCTGCTGTGAAGTCACCGTGGCAGCCTGTCTCCTAGTCTCCTCCACTGGCTGTGGCTCAAATGCTTTCAGACCCTGGCTATGCAGGCACTTGTGAATTTGGGATTTGTTATAACCAGGGTGATCTAGTTGTAGTAAAACAAAGTACCGAGAGAATAAAGCAAAGAGTGCAGAATTATTTTCTTGTAATAATTATCTCACTGTTGCCTTCGACTTGGGCTGGAGTCGAATACGAGCAGAGTTTACTAGCTAGTCATTCTGGACTTGTCAATGAAGTGGGTACTCATTGGAGCACTGGCCAAAGCTCTTAAACAGTACATTTGAGGACACTGATTTTCCTCCAGAAGAGGTGGCACCATGACAATAACATCTATACAAGAAAATGCATTGAATAACAAGCATCAGCAAGACATTAAAATTTAGTTTCTATAGAACTTCATAAAATGTACTGAAAAAATCTATAAAAAACAATGGAACATGAATTGCCAACTAGTCTAAAATTTAAAAAAATTAAGATGTACCATGCAAGACTTCTACATCTTTAATTTTTTGTAGTTTTTATTTACTGTATATGCAGTTACAACCAATTTAAAGAGCTGCCTACCTTATGATGACAAACATCTAAATCAGACAGCTTCAAAGATGTATAAGCAGCAGCCAGCATTAAAAACTTCTCGTCTGAAGACTTTAACTCGAATGGTATTTTAGGTGAAATTGAAATATCAGTCACACTGCCTGCATCTGCTGCAAATATTGTAGTTATGAATTATATTTTTCTTATAAAATATTATACTGAGAAGATATATCATGAGTATAGTATTATACTGTATAATTATCATGCAAGTTATAATTTTTTAAAACTTACATGCAGCAGCCTATATATATAATATTGTATTTGGTCTGATCTGCACCATATTGGGATCTGACCCAACTGTCAGTTAGGTTCACCCATGTACAGGATTCCAATAAATGTGCAACCATGTTGAAACAAATAAATGCCTAAAGAAAATTGTTCAAAACATCTTGATAAGTAAATAAACATTAATTATTTATATGTCAATAGTAAGACAAATATAATTACTGTATATGTAGACCTACTACCAGAAAAGTATTATAATTAAATTGAAGATATGTAATTTTATAAAAGCTCATTTTTTTCCAATGCTTGCCGAGCTCTGAACCTGCACAGACTAACTGACGAAGAAAAACTCTCAGAAGCGGGTTTATTTCATGTAAACATGTTAAACAAATGTTTTATCAATAGGGGACCTGACAGCTGAGTGGACAGCGCTTCCGATTCGTAGTCCTGAGGTTCCGGGTTCGATCCCCGGTGGAGGCAGGAACAAGTGGGCAGTTTCTTTCACCCCTGATACCTAGTGGTACATAGGTCCCTGGGAGTTAGACAACTGGTATGGGCTGCTTCCTGGGGTTGTGTAACAAAACAGAGGCCTGATCGAGGACTGGGCCATGGGAACAGTAAGCCCCATAATCATCAAGATAAATTCAAGATACATCAAGACTGACAAATACAAGCATTTTAAATCCGTTACCATGGATATATTTAAAGCTCAAGCAAAGATGCAAGTATTTTTATACATGTGTATGTAATGTAATCACATCCAGTAGCTTGTCGGTCATGAAGTACTGAAGACTACACACACTGGCTGATATTTTGTGTAATTATTAGGAGGTGTGCTAATGAAAATTAAATTTTTTATATCATTAAGACGAATTCGACACTGTATATCCATCAGAGGGATTATATCTTATGGGCGAGCAAAGATAAACAAGTTTGTAAAAGGAGATTCCTTGAGGTATGCTTTCATGATCAATGTTGATTTTTGCTAGATATGGTAATATATGGTTTTTTAATCATGTTTTGATTTCATATGGTTTTTAATCACATTTATTTTTCCATGATTTACACACATGGTAATAAATGTACTGCAATTTTGTCATCAGAAAGATAGGCATACAAGTTAAAAATTTAAATTACTGTACTTATAGTACAGTATACAAGTTTATAGTAACCGAGGTGAAAGTGAAGATTATGCATTTTTATCAAATTACTTGTGCAGGCTTCCAGAGGAAGCACACACCAATTGTGCAATTTACATGTATATATTCTTATTAACCTAAAAGTTCTATATAATAGAAGCATGTTGGAGATGTAGATGTTATTCTAACTACATTTCAAGGAATACATCATACCTGAAAGCCAAGATATGGTTAAATAAAGCATACCCAACAACTGCCAGTATTTGGACACCTCGGCAACACTGACTAGTAAAGGGTCAACACGGGCTGCACAATACTGATAAATTACCAATGTGAATTACATAAGTTATGTTTATTAGAAATAAAATATATAGTGTTTTCATACAATATAAAATGTATTTGAAAGAAGTACAAAGAAATATATGATTTCCATTCTGTTTTTGCTTTGCTTCAAGTTGTTAAGTAATTAAAATTTTACAGTAAAGTGAATTTGTTGCTAGTTCTATAAACATTGCTACAAGGCATTATTGCAACAAGACTATAGGAAACCTTTATTAAATCATGTATATCTTTGCTCCTATTGGAAATACTTTTATCTTAAACGTTTGAAAGCAAAGTATCTATGTATAAAGAAATATAAAGCAATATGAATTTACATAATTCATCAGTATTGTTCAGTCAGTGATGACTCCTCGGACAGTGCACATTGCCCAGGTGTTCAACATGTTTTGAACAATTTCCTCATCTGTTCCAGCATATGGTTGCCCATACATGGGCTACTGTGTAGTGTAGAGGTACTAAATGAATATCAAACCAGAGTACATAAAATTATACTTTTGCTGAAGCACAAGTGCTAAACGACCATATACCCTATGGCAGCAACCCACGAGATTGAATTTGGACTCGACATAAACAGTGTAAGGGACTCCCCTAGCCCAACCACCTGCCCAACATGCAGGTGTTTAAACAAACGTTCAATACATGAGCCAGAGAGCACAGCCACACTGCCTGAACCTCACCATTGACATCACCCTTGGCACCATCAGTGTTGATGACCACGGCTGGCTCCTTATTCTTCTTCCCTTTAAATAACCACGAGAATAGTCCTCCATGGCACGAGGCGATAGAACACAACAACACGGCTACAGCGAGGAGTCTCATGTTGCCTGCCGCGCAGCTAGACGGGGAAAATGAGCAATAATAATGTTAGAAACAAGAGCACAGCTGCGGCGGCCGCCTCAGCTGTGTTTTGAAGAGTAGCGGGTGAGTCTCCCTCACTGATTGGTCCTTTCCTCAAGAGACCCGGCCTTTGATTGGTCACTGGCGGGTTAGGGTCGGCGGCTGATTGGTGCACCGCTGACTATTACCACTCTGCTCCTCCTCCATTATATTATTCACATTTCTACCCTGGTCGCCCACTGCGTATTGCTCAGCACTGATGGGGGATTGGTTTATAATAGAATGCTATGTTGGTTCCGGGTTAGGTTGGTGGGGTTTAACTTATTACACTTGCGGGCGTTAAAACATAACATGGCACATATTTCCTTCTTAACTTGTACCAACATGCTTGAGTGATGCTGCAAGGTCACATCTCATGTATGGAAACGTGACCTCATAAATCCGTCACATAACAGTGGGTATACGCTGCTGTGTAAGCTGCTGTGTACCCAAGTTTAATAACAATACCCGGAAATAAATGTCCAAGAGAAAGATATATAGGATAGGCCTATCAATTTATTTGTTGTATCCTACAACAATTCTAAAAACCTATATATAATTGAGTCTCATAGTTATGTGAAGAGAACGAATTAAAAGATATTCCAGTAGCGAATATTGGCTTATATGAAGCCCATCATCACGCAACAAAACTCTGTTATCAGAACAATAACAAACTCTGTTTTCAGACAACACACAAAGCCCCTTTGTTTAAATCCCTAAACATGCTAAACATAAACTCACGCCACACATTCTCTTGCGTCATTTACATGTACAAAACCTTTAGTGTTCAATGAGGATCCACAAGGTCTTCTCTGAGTACTCATTATTTTCTTCTCCGAGGCTATGGGTCCCTACACTTGCACCAGTGGTGGTACCCCTTTTTATATAAAAAAAAAACTTTAGTAAATCGTGATCTGAAATTCTTCATTGACAGATATAATCGAACCCATAATCACCAGAAATAAATATATCTTTGATATCTCCAGAGTCAAACTAAATCTGTGTAAACACTACGCAAATAAAAGAACCTTCAGGTCTATAGAGCTCACTCCCTAACGAATTAAAAAGTTCTCCAATCTTTGCCTTATTCAAAAGTAAAACCAAAAAGTACCTAATTTCATCTTCATAGTTTCCTACCCAGTGCTTGAAACTCGCACTGTATCTTGTACTACCCACTCCCCCAATATATGTGCATAAGCCATGCAACTTCACCATTGTAATCACTGCTATTAACTTATATCATGATTATGTTGAACGCAAATTTTACTACAATGTACCGATTAATAATCCTCAAATTATGCTACAATATACCTGATCATAATCCTCAAATTTTCTTACACTGTTCCTGTTAATATTCTTCACATTTTGCTACAAATTACCTATTTAGAATTATGTTAGATCAAGGACCTGCCCGAAACGCTATGCGCGTCAGTGACTTTGCAAGAATGTAAAAACACCAATGCTATGTACTGTCATAAACTCAATGTACCTTCTTGTATGTAAATAAATAATTAAATAAATAAATAAATAAATAAATAAATAAATAAATAAATAAATAAATAAATAAATAAATAAATAAATCAATCAAAGCCTGTCCCCCTTTCTTGAATATTGCAGCTTAATTTGCCTTTTTCCTTGGTTTCCGGTAGCTCCCATGGCTCTAGCGTAATATTGAACACTATAGTTAGCAGAGAAAGTCAGCTATTGACCTAAAACAAGCTTATTGTTCCCGACATGGACAAAAAGGGACAAAAAATAATTCTTTTAAAAGGCGCGGGGTTTGACGTCATAATCAGCTGACTCGCGCGCGTGTTGCCTCGACGCACACCAAAACAAAGCCAGAGATGAACGCTAACACGCAGGTCCTCGAGCTGGTGAGTTATTCATTTTTTTACACCTGTTCTCCGCACGTACCGTAATGGTGCACTTGAATATATCTCGGTGAGGGACGTCTCTATGTCACAGGCGAGTCCGGAGCTCAATTGAAGTGACTGGGTAAAAGGTTGTCGCTATTTCATGATTAGTCAGGTGCATTTTTGGGTCAAGCACAGGTGCAATGTGATGAAACTCTTCACTTCACATGGTTTAACATTGCTTAGAACGTTTGTATTAAATACATTTATAATTAAAATAATACAACCGGTAATAGATTTGCCATATTTAAAACCCAAAATATTCCTAACAAAGGGAAACTCGATATAATAATCATACTGTACTGTTATCATTAACATATCGGGTATTATACAAAACCATCATCTGCAGTCTGTATATACTTAATAGAAGAATAAATATATTTGTACTCACAAAACATGATAATACAGTAAGCATAATAGGCTTTATTTCCCCAACAATGGGAAACCAAACCAGAAATAAAATCACTGGTAATTACCTAAGTTATAGCAGCACAAAATTGTAATTTGTGTTAGCTTCTGTTGTTCATGAAAGTATGAATGAAAGAACGAATAAGCTTTAAGAACAATGAACAATGTTCATTTTACATAAATAAATAAAAAAAAATACATAAAATGTGATAGTCAAATCGTATACGTGCATTTTGACGAGCTCATTTCTAATAATAATTGTAAGGGTAAAGTTTGGTCAGTTCGAGTTAGGTAGGTTTTAAAATTTATTGGCAAACCATATTGGGTATGATGTGACCTTTATCAGATATAAGAGGACTAGGAGTTTTTAACTTTTTCAATTACAGACCCCCCCTCAATGGATTACCCAGTATATCCCTATATCTCTCTTTGCCAGACTGTCAAAATCATTACCACCACCAGTCCTATTAGATATCAGTATAACTGATATCAGTAGATGTCAATAGCTTGGCTTTACTTCATATTTGGATAGCTAGAAACAGCTGCAACTAGTGAGATTTTTTTTCTGTATGTGTGCAGTAAAAACATGAAATCGAGGCACATTTACCGACACTCGCATGTCATCCGACACATCAAATCAATTTCTCAACTTTAATTTCGGGCTCAGAGATCGAGTGCCAGTCCCCATTATTTGGTTCCCATACTCCCAAGGGGGTATGAATAGTGGCTTTCAAATTTCTGTTATAGTCAAAGATAATCCCTATTCTCTATGGGTTGACTCCTGTTTGGGAGTTGAGCTAAGATTATATTTTGTTGCTAACTTAAAGATTAGATGAATATTTGTTCATGTAGTTTCATTGAACTCTGCTATTATGCCAGAGGAATTATAAGTAGGTAAATGAAATGATCTACATTTGTAGGTTAAATTCATGACAAAGACCACAGAGCTATCAGAGCAAAAAATGCATCTACAATAGTAATACTGTATGTAGTGTGCCAACAATTCTATTCCGTAACTAGAAGTATTAATGCATAAATATTGTACAGTACTCTAAATACTGTACGTTTACACCTGAGATGCACATTGTGAAACGAGTCACAAGGACATCATCACTAATTGTCTTAACTTTGCAGCTAAACATTCACAGCATTCTGGATTAAAACCAAAGGAAGTAGATATATGGTGTTAAAATTAAATCTTTTCAAGGTAGTACAGTACAGTATTTTGAATATTTGTATATATTTTTTTTTCATAAACGTACTCTTCTGTATAACATTATTAAAGACTCGAAAGTTTTTGTAAGAGCAAGCCTGAGTACTGCTTGAAGGCAAATTATAAAATACAGTACATTAAACTTGAAATGCCTTGCAATCCATTTTCTTTTGCATTGTATTTATACATGAATCTGTTGTAGTCAAAGGAAAATGCAGGAACAATACTACACATGTAATTACACGTAAAAAAAAATGACAACTGAATTTTGTTTTCCCAGCATGTGGAGGCCAGACAAGTGGATGAAGCAGTTTTAAGTCTGTTTCACACACTTCTGTTTCACCGATCCACAGGAAAATTTCACTACAAAAATGATGACACATATGCTGTTGGTACCATTGGTTTTCAAGATGTGGACTGCGATTTCATTGATTTTACTTACGTAAGTAAAGATGAGGCTATTGTGGAGTGTATTACTTTACCGTGGTTATTGAATGTATCTGGTGTTGGGACTTACTGGTATTATAGTTGAAGAATAATGGTTTGCAACTTTTCAAATGCGTGTTTCATCAGACAGAGAGATTAAAATTGTATCATAATTACTTGACTGTACTATACAGCAAAACTAATTCATCTTGGAAATTAGCCAGGTTAATTACCTGGACAGTTGTTTGCAGTTGTTTGAAAAGGAGGAAGAAGTTGTGTGTAGGTAAGACTTATATTTAAACAGGTTATGGTGAAAATTGTAATACAGTATAAAGTCGGTAAGATGTAATCCATACAGAGATTTAAAATGTAATATGTTAACATTCAAAATATGTAACTTTCAAATCTACAGATATTTATGATGATAGTGTGAGTTAAATGAGCGAGGACCTTTTAAGTACTGTATACATAAGTAAAACTTCCTGCTACAGTATTTCTATTCAGATGATATTTTGAGTGCATTTAATTACAATTAAACAGTACAAACTTGTATTATAAGAAGAAATATTGTATATATTTTATTGCAGAGATTTATAAATTTTCTCGTGGATGGTTTTTATTCTAGGTACGTTGTTCATCAGAGGAACTGGACAAATGCATCCGCCGTGAAGTGAGTGGCTTCTGTGAAGCCATCCGGGCACCTGATGCTCCATCCAGTGGTCAGGTATATCATCATCAAATTAGCACACTTACTTACAGTAATGTCCTTGGAGTACAGAATCTCTGATATACAATTGCTACTGGGTGTAAGTTCTTTAAATCAAATTCTTAATCATTGTACTACTCACAGTTTTGAATATGAGCATCATGATGAATACAACATTAAACATTATCACATATTGATATCAAATTAGTGAGATACCTGTTTAGGTTAATGAGCTGAAAATAGCAGATCATGAGTTCCTATGATCAAAAAGTGCTTTTAATTAAAAGCAAATGTTGATTTAGCACTTGTAGAGAACTTGGTGCATGAATATTGTGCAGCTTTTGTAGTTTGGCTTTTAAATGAACCAAATACACTTGTTGGAGACTGTTCTGTTGACACAATTTGAAATGAATTGTATAGTGTTATATATTTAGGAATATATATATAACACTGTATTCATAGGAGTTAATATATTTTGTACTTCATTTATGTGACATTGTGACAGCTCAAAAGGATATGCTGCATAAACAATGACAGCCCGGGCATCAACCAGCACTACCTTGTCTGCCTCATTTTATTAGAGCAGCATTAAGAAACCCATAATGTATCCAGTTCCAAGATGTTCTAGTGGTGTATTTTAGCGAAGGTAGTGCTTATGTAGGCAAGATATTGCATTAATCTTAGTCATGCTTTTGATGCTGCATTTAAGGCAATTTATGAAGCTGCTTATATCTTACAACAGATATATAACTGGGGAAACGGGACAGGGATACCTCTTTGATCGCCCTCAGGGATTGATCAATACAGTATCTTGTTATGTTTAATCCTATGTAAGGTGCGTAAAAGCTTGACTTGCATTATTAATTGTATGTTCTTGTACAGAATGAACTCTTAATGATATAGAAATATTTAGATATTTATTTTTGTATTATTTCATATACTGTGGCATGGAGCTGATGGTACTTCATAAGAGAAGGTATCTAGTTTGTGTAATTTTTTAAACTGCATTGTCAGAATGTTAAAATTTTACAGGTTGCCTTAGAATTTTACCAACGAAAACGTGGAAGATGGCCGTTTGCATCAGAAAGTATTCCCTGGGAAGTGTGGACATTAAGGGTGAATGTAGTCTCTTTAAGCAATGAACATGGTAAGAAAAGTACATTGTTCACATAAGCCAATAGCTTCGTAAAATTATTAAATACTGTACTTATAGGAATGCATATACGTTCATAAATTTTTGATAGGTATTAGCTAGGTTAACCCATTAAGTATATTATATAGCTATACTGTAAAGGTAGTTTATAAATATATTACAGTAATTATAAGTTTGGAAGGTGCTGAATTAGTACAGTACATTAAAGTTTTCAATTGATAAACTTCATTTATTGGTATGTGTGTTGTTTAATGTTTGAACCTTAACCTTCTGTTGTTTTCGTTCATGTGATTTTGTCACCATAACCCATGATTATTTCACTGTCTTGGAAAATCCTCACATCATTAATGCTTAGCGGTTATCTTATTTTTCCACTCAAGCCATAACTTGATATTATGTGGCCACATTTAAAATGTGGTATGGAGAAGCACACAGTCAGGTGCTGTTTCTAGTCACATTTTGCTGCCAATAAACTCCACCACTCTTTATACGGCAATACGTGGTCTACCAATACCTCTGGTATGCACACTCTTATCATGCTTAGATGTGCGGTATAGCATCACTTAGGAGTATAATATATCTGGCACCAGTACTACTGGAAATTTAGTATTTTTATGTCTAATAGAACATCCCAAAAATTAAACAAATGTTTTAACTACCAGGTGATTAATTTCATATCTATCTAGGTATCCCAGTTTCAAGACCTTTAGGGACTTGCCCTGGAGATGTCAAAATAGAAAAGCCACCAGACTATCATTTGGCCAACACATTTTTCTTGAGTATTATATATATATACCTTATGCCATCATAAGACTTGCATTATGCACTCATTCACTTCACCCTGCCAAGATCCCATCCTTCAATTCAGGCCCCTCTGTCTCATTTGTTCCCTCCCATCACTGACCACAGCTCCCGTCCTCCCTCCCCCCTTTCTTTCTATTGCTCATCCAAGCCCATGTCTGCTTTTTTTTTTCACTGTGTGATGACTTTGGGTCAGGAGACTGAGAAAATAATTATTGCCAAGATAGATAACATAGATTGCCAATGTAACATAGATAACATTTAGAAAATCAACTCGAGCTCTTAGGTGACTCGAACCCACGACCAACGGACTGCCACCTAAGTCAAGACAAGTCACTTAAGAGCTCCAGTTGATTTTTTCATTGATATATATCACATTAGTGTTGTTTCTCTATGTAATAGATAAAATTATTCAGTAAATCAAAATTTCTCCTTCACCAGATATTTCATCTACCTATATGTGCCAAAATGTGACTGAATGTGAAGTTCAAGGATCTTTCTGAATGTGAAGTTCAAGGGTCTTTCTGAATGTGAAGTTCAAGGGTCTTTCTGAATGTGAAGTTCAAGGGTCTTTCTAAGAATCCCTTATGCTTGATCATCCATTCCATAAAGTTGTTCCCTCTCACTTGCACTGAGAAACAAGAATGTGTAGAAAGAATGAAAGTTGACTCAATACTGATAGAATTGTATATGAACCCTAACTGCATTCAGCAAACAATGAAGTGATCTGCAGCAGACGGAATTGTGTCGGGCACGGGTGGGTATCCCAAAACTTGCTCCTCTATTGGATTCATGTATTAAGGCTGTTGCCATGTACACTGTCAACTTCATGCACATGAAATAATTATGAAATGTACAATGCAGTATATCAAACTTAGTTGAGATATAAGTGAAATTTTAAATGATAATTTTCTTAGTGGGTAAATGGCAAAACTCTGAAATGGCACCTTGTAAAAGATATTAGAATGGTGATTTATTAAACCTGCAGGAGCTTACAATGCGCTTGTGTTTATTTTCGTTTTAAACAGTAGGAACCAGTGCCGCATGTTTGTGAGTAAAATACTGTATATTAATTCTATAAAAAAAATTTGTTACTGTACTGTGCATCATTTATCTTCATATTTTCATAAATTATTTGTATTTACTTTATAAAATATGATTATTTACTCCAAATTATTTCCACAGAGCGGCAAATCTGGCGTGAAAAAGTTGGAGAATCACTTGGAGAAAGACTATTACACATAACTGACACATTGAATCGGCATGACTACATTCCCTCTCCTCCAAATCAGGCAGAAATTGATTTTATATATGACACATCTTTCCCAGATGTCCAACCTTTCCTCTTCAAGGTCAGTTATATTAAAACTTCCATATGCATCAGTAGTATAGTATTCTTGTATCTTACGATGATTTAGTAAAAAAAAAAAAAAAAATAATAATAATAATTGGAAGGCCAAGAGACCAAGCCCAATTCATGGGCTAGTTGAGATTATTAGGGTATGATTTCATGTCATAACCAAAATCTGTTAGTTTTTGACCCATTAAAGAAACTTGTGATGATGGTGAAGAAATCCTATTGGGATGATTTTGAGGATTGAAGTAAGGACAAGAGAAGGTGCTGTGGATGAGGTGTGTGAAAATGTGACTGTGGGGTAATGTAGTGATAGTGAACAGGTTCTTGAGTGGTAATTAAAATTTTTAAGAAAGGAATGAATAATATATCTTTTGTCTGACAACTGATGAGGATACTCCCGAGATACTGCTATGGATAAATTACTAGTATGTAATAGTGCAAGTTCTCCGTTATACACTTGAGTATGGAAAGTGGCACATTTAGTTTTTCCTGTGAAGTTATTGTATCTTTTTTTTTTTTTTCAGGCATATTCCACTATTACATGAATGTTGGAAATGGGTTTGAGGTGTTTGGTTAACAATTAGATAATTTTAAATAATTACCATAATAAATACACATTTATGCCAATATCTTGGAGTTTTCAATTTTTTTTTATTTCAACAGTCTAAGGCTACCAAGCAATATCTAGAGAATTGCGTCACTTATTAGTGTAAAGTTGTCAAGGCTTGTTTATAGTGATGCAAGGAAGATCTCTAGCATTGTTGGGCAATGTAGTCCTCTGGAGGTAGAATTTGTTAGAATCATTTAAAAACGATGGAGATGGGGGTAGACCTTGAGCACTATCTAAATGAATAAGTGCAGCTATATCCAATTTTTTACATACATGCCCTAATGCCATGAAATAATGCTAGTAATCTTGGTTGCAAACAATACAAGACTACTATCAAGACAACCTAACACAACAGTGCCTGTGTATACAAGGTTATCTACAGGTGTGTATGGGAGTATGTGTGGAAGTGTCCGAATAACCAAAACTGTTAATACCAAACCTGCAAATTGCAATGGTCTACAGTTTGTGAAATTATTTTTCAACAAATATTAAAATGCATACTTATACCCCACAGGTAAACTACAGTGTGTCGGCTCCCAGTAATCCATCGGCAACAACCACCTTCAAGAAGCTAATAAGAGACACTTTAGCGCTATAACATTGGCTGTATGTTAGGTTACTACAACTTTCGTCCTATGCTGCTAGCACCAGACTCTTCGTTGAGGAGGGTTTGGTTGCATTGGTATTCAGAGGTTATGAAGTGTGGCAAGGCCCCAAGATGCTTTGGAGTACGATCTTGCAAGGAAGTTGGACGTCCATTATGAAGTCAGTATTGAGATCTGATGGCACAACATCAGTCTTGCTTCTTTTCGAGTTCATGAGAATCATAAATTTTTGCATCAGAATTAGATCAAATGGTTTATACACAAATACATATATAATATTGTCTGATGCATTGACTAGTTAGATTCTAGTTAACTGAATTTTGAATAACTAGGGGTCAATTATTTTTTGGTTCAGTGATCTGTGAAAAATATAGTGATATATTTAGGTGCCAATATTTTTCGCAGAGCTAATTTTCTAAATGTATCACTTGTAATAATGATGGTATTCCCAAATGCTGCAGTAGTTGCAGATTACCTATTTGCTTATAGATCTTTATGCTAAAATCAACAAAGTATTGTAAGTTATTGTACCTACTGATTTCTCCACTTGGCAGTAATTGCATTTTCACCTGTCACAAAATAGACTATAGTTTAGCCATAAATATTAACATACCACATTCATCATAACCATTTTGGGGGAAGGGGGGGGGGGAGGGCTTGAATTATTGTGTGGAAGTGCGTACTGTGGCACATGTTTGGAAGCCACAGTGACTGAATGCTTTTATTACATGCCTTATTGACAAAGGCATGTGCTGAAATGATCTATATTTTAAATATAAGTATAACTAAATTTCTAAAAAAGTTTACTATGAGGGATTATAAGCTATTGAGAATGGGTTAGTCAATGAGACCCTCCTCTTAAGAGTTTTATATAACCATATCCTTAGCCATGCTGCTTTCTTACAAAAAGTTCAGTGGTAGACTTCCATTACATTTTTGCTCCATACATGATTATCTAAAAGTTCATTTGAGACTTGCCAATAGTTATGCAAGGTTCACGTGTTTAATGATTGGCACAGCCCTCATACAGACTTTTGTAAAGTTAAAAAGCAGGGATAGCCTTGAATGGCATAAATATTATCACTTGAGGACCACAATGTTTCCAGTAGAACTATGTTGCTGCTTATTATTTATGTTTACTGATGGAAAAAGAAATGCCTCTGAATGAATAATTAAAAAAATAATTAGTTGTTTTACTACAAAATGGCACTTATTATACTTTGCAAACAACAACTTGCTAAGTTACAAATATAATCAGCTTGTTTATTGTTTATTTTAACCTAAAACAAAATATGTTTTTTCCGAGTTTTGTAAAATCTTTAATTTCATTTAATACTGTCTAGTTAATATTTATGGATGCCATGATAACTATATAATTTAGTAATATAATTTTTATATACTTTTACAAATGCACTTGATATTTGTACAGTTTAAAGCAATGCTTCTTTGATTTTTAAATGTCGTATATGTTCTTGCATGACACTCGCATGCAATAGTTGCCAGACAAGCTTTAAAAAAACTGTAACTGGATTTTTGAAATTCGTGAATTTCTCTTTGAATCATTTACTCGTGTGCCAAAGGGGTCCTGTTAAATGTCACTAGGATCATACATATCTATTTTCTAATTTTGGTTCAGAGGGAATCATAGTTCAGCTTGAAACATTTTGGTTTGCAGGTTAAAATTTATTATGCAAGAAAAGTCTTGTTGACTTTTTGCTGAATAATTTGTCCACGAGACTATTCAGAAACTTTAATGTATCTTTCATAATTGTATAATGTTGTTATATATATATTTCAAGTCATAGAAATATTAGAGAGTCTGTGAGAATGCTATTAATCATTTATGTATGATTATAATTTATTAATAATCACAAGACGTGTGTCTGGAAAGGTGAACTCATTACTCAGTGTGTCTGAGAAACTTTTCCTCATCACTCGTTAAGATTTTATTTTCTTGTAAACAATGCTGTTACCTATAAAACGTGAAAAAGGCGCTCTGTGCCTGCAATGGAAATAAATATTTTTGTAAAGGCAAAAATGTATTTTAAATCTCAAAAGTTGTGGGAAAAGGGTTCCCCATTCTCCTATGCTTGCTATTATACATTATTGGTATCAAGTCAAAATATTGGTTTCAGCTGACCTTTATATATTGTCTGAATTGCTTGCAATTTTATGTATTTTAAAATTATATTTGTGCCATGTGAGTGTGTTTGGTATATAGTTGTCAGTGCAGCTTCACTGGCCAAGGTTTAAGCTTCACTGCCCTGCCCAAGGTCTTTACCACTGATAGATGCAGCCAATACTTCAGTTTGTGATCCTGTCAAACAGTCATCTGTTTCATTAACACTGTTATTGTTCACCATCCTGCATTAGATTCACAAGCACATTGAAAGCAATGGAAATCAAATTTAAACATTATAATTAAAATTTTAAATTTTAATAGAATTTAAAAAGATTCTCTTTGGGTTAAAACAAAAAAGTCAATAATAAGCAGACAAGACAGTCAAAATAATGTGGCTGAAAATTAGACACCCATGTCAGGGTGCTTGACAGCTGGGTGGACAGCGCTTCGGATTCGTAGTCCTGAGGTTCCGGGTTCGATTCCCGGTGGAGGCGGAGACAAATGGGTGCACAAAATGTTTCTTTCACCCTGATGCTCGAGTTAGTCAGCTGCTACAGGCTGCTTCCTGGAGGGGGGGGGGTGCAACAAAAAGGAGGCCTGGTTGAGGACCGGGCCGCGTGGACACTAAGCCCCGAAATCATCTCAAGATAACCCAACCCACAAATCTGAAAATAAAGGTGACGACGTTTCGGTCTGCCCTGGACTATTGTATAATGAAAGATCAGTAATAAGCTTATTATAATTTTGTGCACATGTGCATCAGCTAAGTTGAAGAAGATTGTTAATCACATACAGTAAGTAGATTCTAAATGAGAGGTTGAAACTATAACTTAGAGACAATAAACTGTATAAAACTTGAAGGAAAATAAACATGAATGGAAGTGGTATCATAGAGGAAATGTTCTGGGTTTACTGGCTTCTCTTATTCTAATCACACTGTTGACCACACTGAGTGAACACTTGATCAAATGCTGCTGGTTTATCTTTTTCCTATCATCTCACTACCTTCACTGAGTTGTTGTACAGTACTGTATCAAGAAACGAGTATGTTTATTTCGTTGTCAAATAACAAAAATTTGTCACTTTTCTCAACGTTCAGATTAAATATGCACCATTACACAGTAAAAAAAAGTTGGAACAGGTACTGAGAAAGATATAATTGATCTGTATGGTGTATAAATATAGATCTTGAATGTGAATTTTAGGCACAAAGGTTTGAGTAAATGTACATGGTACTGCAGTAAAGGGTTAACATGAGTCTGTTGACAATATATACCAGTACTAGAGCAAATTCATTTGCAAACATTTTAACAACAAATTTATAATAATAACCAAAAATCTCACATTAAGCAGAGTATAAACATTTTAGATGTGGTTGAGTGGAACCGTGAGATATCTGCAACGTTTGTGGTCGAGTGTGTCAATGAGTCAGAACTTTAAATGTTAACTTTGGAAACTTTTAGTTCGTCTTTGCTGATATTGAAATATGGTAAAACTATAGATATATATGGTAAAGTATATTCAGAAAATATTAAACTGAAATGATGAAAAGAAGAGTTTGCCATAAGGCATAAAAAATGGTACTGTGTCAAATGATTGGAAAAGGATTTGTGATTGTACTGCTGTATAAAAATAATGATGAAACTGTGTGTAAGTTATAGATGAAGTATTCTGTGAAGTGTAGTGGGCAAATTGAAGAATAACAAACGTTCACGATGGATGTGATAGTGTGTCTCGGGGACTTGCAGTATGACAGCTTGTGTTAGGAGGCAGGTATTACCTTTATGAACTTTGAGAATGCCTATGATAAAGAGGGATTCTGGAAAGAAATAAGTATATATAGAGTTTATCAAATTTTGTTTAATACTGTACTGTAATATGAAAAGTATCTATGAAAGAAGTAGTGAATGTGTAGGAGTTAATGGTGTAATGAGTGATTGGATTAATATTAATGTAGGTTTACTATTTTATCCTAAGGTATACTGCTTGCCAGTGGTTTGTGATGTCTGGTTTGGGTTGTTTAATGTGTGTGGATGGGGTCAAGTTAAGAATTTAAAAAAAAATGTTAACCTAATTAATATATGATATAGATAATTGAAGCAAATGTTATGTATGGTAGATAATGTAGTTAATTTAGCAGAAAATTGTCTGAATTTATGTAGATAAGTTTAAAGTGTAATTTGTATGTTTGAGAGAAAACTCCTAAACATAATATGATGAAAGTAAAGTTATTGTGGGTGTCATATAAAGGATTTGTGTGAAATCAGTGTAAATGGCTAAATAACTTTAAATACTTGGCTAGTACAATTTTTCTGTCTCATATCCCAAGGCGAGAGTTTAAAAAAAAAATTGCTCCGAGGGGCGAGTTTATTGGGTAGTGTAGGAATTGGTGTAGTAAAAGACCTGGTTAAAAAGAATAAACTAGGAAGAGATACAGCTGGATGAACTAGAGGGTTGTGTTTATTATGTATTGATGCAAAATGCTGGTGTGACAGTCTAAGAAGCATATCTGATAAGAGAATTTAAAATGTCATTAAAATATGTGGGTTACAAAAGTTAATAAATTGCAAAATTGAAATGTTTGCTTGAGGGAAACTGAGGGTAGGAGGAGGGAAAGGCAAAGATAATAGGAAGCTATAGCAAAATGTGTGAGGAATTAACTATCAGAGCAAAGAATGTAGTAGGGTTGAAGCTAGGTGGCAGCAGTTTGTGGAAAGGGAATATATGCTTTATATAGAAACTCCTTAGAAGCATTATACCTAGTCTTTACCTCCCTTTTCCAATATTACTCACATTTTTTATCCAAACTGATTCCTTCACAACTCATGAAAGTGAGGAAACAAGGCAATGATGATTTGAATGTTGGAAGAAGGCAATTGGAAGTTCTGTCTGATTATGGTTAATGCAGCTGGTACACGACCGACAGGACTAGTTCTATTCTTGTGCAGGATGGAAATTATTTGGTTACGTTTCTTTTCACCCGACATCTCGTCCAGCAGTAAACAGATACTCAATGGTCTGGAAACTGTTGTGGGTTGCATCTTGGGGAAGGGCAGTCTTTAGCCTAACCTAAGGGAACCTTAAGCCTAACTGGCTTTCCATTGATGACAATGGGAACTGAAACCATGTGATGGTAAGATATATCTATATGCAAGATTGATTGGCAAGCAGTATTAAAATTACTGTTTGTGATTTTTCTCTCAAATAACCACATCTGTATCTCAGGTGCCACTTCATTCAACCCTTCCCAATATGGAAAAAGTTCCTTAACCACTGCACTGCACACCTGGTTTTGGCAAAAACTTCATAGTGCAATTGTCAAAGACATATTTCTGTTTTTTTGTAAAGTTAATGACAAAATGTTTCCAAACTCAATCATTTTCATTTCAAAACAGAGAGAGCGATGAAAACTTAAGAAAACTTTAAAATATAGCCTAATTAAAAAAATAAGGCACAACTCTCAGTGCCTTAGGGTACTCTGCACAGTACAGTGGTAAAAAAAAAAAACGTGAAGGTATGAGAAAATCTGCCAGGGCTGTGTGTTGGTAAACGAAGGTATTTTTTTAAATGTATAAAGTATTTCTACTACACACAAATGTTTGCGAATGTTATTGATGAATTTAAAAATGTTTGGATCACTTAATATACCTTTACAAGGACGTGCAAGATGATATAAGAATGATTATCGTAATTTACAAATTGATACAAAGTGACTTTGATGTAGAAGTGACAAGAGCAACTGACAGTAAAAAAAGGTGTATCCTGTATGTGCAGTAAAAGTAAATAGAAACAAGGAGAGAATCTTTTCAATGCACCCCCCACTGAGCCATAAACTCTTCAGGAATAGTTCAACACCATGTTTTAGCAGCGACTGGTTTGATGTAATCAGTCCAATGATGCTGATGGCCCCTAATGGCTGAATGGACAGCACTTGGGATTTGTAATCCTAATGTTCCGGGCTCAATCCCCAGTGGAGGCAGAAACAAATGGGCAAAGTTTCTTTCACCCTGAAGCCCCTGTTCACCTAGCAGTAAATAGGTACCTGGGAGTTAGACAGCTGCTACAGGCTGCTTAATGGGGATTTGTAACAAAAAGGAGGCCTGGTCGAGGACCAGGCTGCGGGGATGCTTAGCCCCGAAATCATATCAAGATTTCCGCAAGATAAGATGCTAAAGCATGTGTTCTAATATCTAAATTCACCATTTTAACTTTCTTAACCATAATATCTGCATTTATATTATGCAACTCTTCAGAAATATGGGAGCACAATGTGGGTGGGGCTTATGGCCACTATATTGGGTATGAAAGGTGTTGCATTTAAGGCGGAAGAGAAACAATCCTAACATTCCTCCCGTTTTAATTAAACTCTACCCCTACAGGTTAAATCTAACAGGCTGTCGTATGACTTCCTGATTTTCTCAACTGTGGGTCCAGACCTGTTACTTCTGGGAAACATTCTTCTGAATTACTCACTGCAGAGTCCATAGGGTTAACTGTATCCCCAATACCATCTGTTGCCCCGTGCTCTGCCTCCCTGTCTCCTGCAGGTGCTGCTGCACCTGCAGGAGACCTCATCACCACTGTTATGTTTAAGGTGAAAGAGAAGCAATCCTAACAAGGGGGTCCAACCATTCAGAGATCACCTCGGACAACCATGCATTCACAACAAACCACCTCAAATCCGCACATTATTTTGTTCCTGTAATTTCATGTATTTGTCTATCATGGCATTTTGTGCTGGAATTATTTGTGGTGTACAAGAGGTTATAATGGATTTGAAATGCCCAAACTTATTGGAACAATTTAAAAGATTGTCAGGGGTACCCATATTGCTCACACTGGTTCTCATTCTCCCAAGAAAAGCTTGAAGCATTTAAAACTGTGGCTTTTCCCAGATCATTTTGCAGTGTTGGGCT